AATGCATGCTTGTCCTCGCAACTCCTTCAGCAACTGTAATATTTCTCCCTTACTGTTTATGTCAGAGAGTCATTACTGGAAGCTGCTGACATTTCTGACATTCAGTAGCATCAGAGCACATTAGGTGGTCCTGAGATAATTTTTAGACAAAATTTACTTGTATCACATGTTCAGGCCATTACAAGCAACAGAAGTAATGTGCTTCCATGCAAAGATATTATCAGTCAGCACGCTCATTTTTGTGGGCCTTCCTGTATTATTCTGTAGCTGCACGATTTTAACCATGCAGTGCATAATGCATAATGCACCGTATGCCCAGGCGGTACGTGCATTGTTTTTGACTTTTGTGCAAGATCAATCTCTATTAGGAAATCTATTATCATCACTTGTGTTTTACTACAATGAAATAAATAGGCAGCTGCAGTTGTTTGGCCTAATAGCTCTTAGCGTGATTGCTAGAAGTAGGAAATCAATGCAGGGTGAAGGGAAGAAACATTTTTAATAACTTACACTTCAGATATGAGATCCCCAAGTTATTACAAATTATAAGGTTAAGACCTCTTGAAAGAATCCTAGCTAGTTAAATATTTAAAACTCCTGGGTGAGAACACAGGCACTAATGAGCTTCAGGCTACTAAACACCAGAATCTAGGGGGAGACATCTTGTTTTATATTAGAAAGTATTAGTGAATATCAACTGGCCATGAGGAGTGTTTAATTAAGAATTATATTGATACAGGGAAAGCAGAGAAAGCACCGGATTGCCAAATCTACTCTTCATCACCATTAGAAGCTGGGTTTGTGTGTACGGAACAAATGTGCACAGCAGTGGCTCACGCCAGAGGCTCCGTGGTGTGGGACCTGCCTATCCCTGTGGCCTTCCCACAGCCCTGGAGATGCCAGAAACCTTCACGCAAACGTGGATGGAGCTGCCTGCTTTCTTGTGTTCCCTTGAAGTGCTACAGGCTTGGTTGGGAGGAATAGCGAAATTTTGGATTTTGTGATTTCAGCAATTCTGTTAATCCAATGATAACTGCTCACGAATGAAAACATAATGCAACGTCAGGCTGATACACATCGTGCAATGCACCCACCCCAAAAAAGAAAAGGAAGAATCTCATAAATCATCAAATGTCTCTCCTGTGGCCTTTTAATTCAGAAATTTAAGAACGTAGGAAACCTGTTAATTGTACCCAGGTGCATAAAGAGAGTTGTGATGTTGAAATTCAAATGCCGAGAAGCAAGAAAGGGAGTTGAGAAGGAATGTGAAGACTGGTGTGACATGACTGAGCACCAGCTGATATCCGGCCTTGCTGCACAACTGTGGTAAGAGAGTTCACTGCACTGTGTGTGCACGTGTGTACGTTATGTAAAATAGCCTCTGCCTGTCTGCTCTCTGAAACAGGAGTGTGAGCGGGTAAACAGCTCTGAGCAACAGATGAAAGGCTACTGGAGTTGAGACTCCCGGTTCAAAGGTTCCAGCACTACGTGCAGTGGCAGTCTCGGGTTATTTGTGTTTCCGAGCTTTTGAATTGTGTGCTCGTCTGCGGAGATTCCCATTATCTTATTCCTGGTTGTGTTCATCAGCAGAGCTGGCTGCCTGGCTGCAGACGTATTGCATAGGGCAACTTCAGTTACATTTCCCCTGCCTCTGCCCTGGAGAAAATCAGCAATATTTTGTTTTAATTGATGATGCTAAATCACAGCAGCTGAACGCTTGCATCCTTCTCGCTCCCTGCGTGTCTCCTGCTGCCTGGTCAGCGTCGGTCCAGCGCTCCATTTTTAAATCAAATTATGCTTGTGATAATATTGTCTTGAGCTTACAGTTGCTGACATGGATATTGACAAAGGCTTAGCCAGTATTTTAATAAGAAAACAAAATACGGGAAATACTCTAGAGTTTCCAGGTGGATCATTAACAAGACGCCTTGGAGGGCTGAGACTGCCAGCCAGCACAGGGAATGCATCACAGTTCGTCATACAACTTAAACTTCTTTTGACATCTAGTTATGTCGAAATGTGACTGATCACCTAGGGGTCCAGGCTCCTGTGAGGGAAAAGTTCACTGACAGACAGCGAACGAAGCTGATCTTAAATGAGAATCAAGAGAAAGCAGCATTCCAGTGTCTGACAGTCTGCAGCTGCTACCTGGGTCTGCCTAACGAAGACGAGCCTGCTCTGCTGAACAGTTATATTAGCATCTGTATGCTTCTGTCTCATTATCACACATCTGCCCACCTTTATTCGAATGAAGCTTCTTCTGATCTGACAGCTCAGGCATTGTCAGTGAATAGATATTATGGGATCCGGGTACAGCAGCTTAGGGTGTTAGCTTTTATTTTCTAAAGACTGTTGTATGGTTTGACAGTATAATGCCACTGAGGTAAAGAAGATAATTAACATATTGGGCAGGCTCTAAACAAAGCTGAGACAGTTACACTGGCAAAAGTGCCGCTGCTGGAGTGGTATTGTTTGCACTGGAGGAACATCAAAGGTTGCAAGATCTGCCTTGGGAAAGAGCAGGGGCACAGGTACGCCATGTCCCCCTCTGACGGATGTTTGGGTCTGTGGTTGATGCCCAGTAACTGCATGTCCTCCCATTGCCTCTGCTTAAAGTCTCCTGTCGTTCTGGGTCAGCTGTTCCCAGCATCTGAGAGGATGTGAAAATGGAGGTAGAGAGAAGGAGGATGAAGGTTCTCTCTCCTGAATTTATTTTTACCCTACAGCATAAAGCTAAGCGCTTGTGTGAGCTGCACACAGTGCCTGTTTGGATGGAGATTTAAGCCTCCTAAGTTGGAAATCACATGTGGGATTTTCTGGAAATGCCAAAAACGTATGACTGAGGTTTCATCATTTGGCTGCTCAGTAAAGGAGTAGAAAGGCTTTCTTAGAAACAAACAAACAGGGAAATAGCATTCTGAGCTCCTGATGTAGATGAGCTTTGATGGTTAAAGAAAGGATGCTCATACTCTCTGCAGCTCTGAGAAATGAAATGGTCCTCAGTGTATTGCTTCACAGTTTGCATTCTATCTGAATACTGGGCATGGTGGGCTGGAATGGCAGCTTGGTCCTGTGCTTCAGAGATGAAGCACTGTTGAAAATACATCTTTGTAAGCTGCCTTGCTGCTTGTTGTCATTTGGGAAAACTAGTGAGTGGGATGCATTGCTGCAAGAGCATCCCTGAACATCTCTGCTGGAGAACCACTGATGTTGTGAAGGGCCTCACTGGTACCCCCAGGTGCCCCCAATCACAAGCAGTGTGGTGGCCAGAGCCCAGACATTCATCTGACTGAAGTGAGTCCCTTGGTTAAAGCCAACAGTCTCTGCTGTTCCTGTGGCAGTGTGCTGGGAATTTAGCCCTAAATGTCTGTGTTAAGGACGTTCTTCATTTCATTCACGGCTTTTGTTTCAACACTTTTCTCCTTTGTTCTTGAGAGCACGCAGGGTTTCCGTGAGTTAATGTTGGAATTACTGCTTCTTTGCAACAGTGCAGTCAAATTCATTTCAGCATCCGCGCCGATAACGTGAGCATGGCTCGTTCAGGTTGGCCCAGCTGCCCCACGCTCACAATTGCCACGTTTGAATACCAAATAAGAGATTCGGTTTTTTAAGTGGGAAAAAAAAAGATTGTCATTCGCTCTAAAAAGGCATCACAGACTGCCGACACTGTACAGAAAAGTAGGAGATGTTGACCTTTTTATTGTAAACTTTCTGTAGCGTTGCCCTCTCGCCGGCGCGCTCCCCCTCGCACACATGGGCGCGCACACGCGCTCTTCAGCTCTATGTTATCTCAAATAATTACCCTGCGCTTCTGGCTGTCCCCAGTGACTGCTGCTGCTAAAAAAGCTACTCATTGTCGGTGAGTGAAGAGGGATTTCAAACCTGCTTCTTGTGGCCCAGCAACAGCTCTTAATTAACCACTCAGGTATTGAGCCGCCTCCTCGCCCGGCTCCATCCATATGGCAGAACATGTCCGCGGCGATAATCACTGAAGGAAATATTGTATCAAAAAAAAAGGGCTCGCTGAACAGAAAGCTCCTGCAAATTATTTTTAATGATTCTCCTCTCTGAGCCGGGCTGTTTGCTGCGCTGGGTAAGGGCTGGGGACGGGCTGTCCTTGCTGTCCTTGCTGTCCTTGCAGCTCCGCCGGCCGGCTCCTGGCGGTGGCACGAGGTGGGTGCGCGGTGCCCAGCCTTTGTTCCTGCAGCACAGCTGGGTGCGTGCCCGCTTCCAACAGCGCCGTACCTTAAGGAAAAACTTGCAGGCTTTGCGCAGCCCCACGTTTTTTCTTTCTCCTTTTGGTTTACAAAAAAGAAAATAGCGATTAGAGTTTATAAATCTAATTAAAAATGAAGTTGCATTTACATTTTAAAACCTCGCGTACGCCAGCATACTGTGTCAAAAGATATTATGTATGATTTTACTTTGTGACAGAAACCATTACATTTAAAAATTCATTACAGCAAGGTTAGTTAGACACATGATGGATGCAGCTTTAATCCTGCCATATATTATTACAGTTAAAATGTAAATGATGAAAAATATTTTGTGCTTATCAGCGTTTATGTGGAAATGTGTTTTACAGTGATATATGGTGTTATATTTCTATTATTATGATGAGAAAGAATGAAATACCAAAAGACGAAGTGTTTATTAAAACATGGCTACTTGTGATAAAATATTCTTGTTGTACATGACTTTAAACATATTTACCGAGGGCATTTGTCCAAAACAACTGTGAAATGCGTTTGCTATGCAAATCATTCTTTGTAAATTTTTCTCCTCTCTGTTGTACTGACTGCAGCTTTCTAATAGCCTAATGTTAAAGTCATGTAAATATATTTTTATTATTTTTCATTTCAGTCACGGGGGACTGGCGCTGTTTACACACATGCCTGCGTTCGGATAGAGAGCGGTTACACAGAAAGACATCAAACAGGAAACTGATCCTAGCACAGCCCCGTGTTCCTTTGTACCTCCTCTTGTTTCGGCTCCTCAAGGCCCAGCCTGCAGCAGAGGAGCCAGCGCTTGGCCTTCCAGCACGTGTGGCCCCTGCAGCCTGTGTCCTGTGGACACCCCAGCAACCCAACAGCCCACAGCAATCCGACAGCCTGCGCTCCCGATCCCTTCCGTTCCACTGCGCAGCTGTAAGCGAGGCACTGCTGGGCACCTTCACAGCCAGATGGTGTGGCCGCACGCCGGTACTGCCTCCATCATTTCCCATGGAAGGTGAGTTTCTAACTGTGCTTGTGCTTTAGGCAAGCCTTGTAAAGAAACATACGTGGCTTTCCCCCAACCTGAAGGCTAACAAGTTTGGAGGCCAGGCCTACATGCTGCGTGTCCTCGGGCCAGGTGGGCTGTTTAAGGGTTTGTTCTCAGCAGTGACCCCTCAGGAAGGGCTGCTGGGGCTGCTCCCCGAGGCACAACCCAGCACGGCTCTGCCCAGAACAATGCAAAGGCCACAGGCGTCCCGCAGGAAGGCTGTGGCAGAAAAGAAAATACAGCACCAAGGCCCTGAAGCTCCGGAATGTGGCCGCCGTGCACGTGTTCCCACGTGTGCTCCGGCTGCTGGGCTGCCTGTGTGCTTCAGGTGCAGCCCTGGCTGACTGTTGATGTATGCAGCGCTCAGTTGGAAGGTTCTGCCCAACAGCCCGGTGTCACGGCTGTGCCCACGGCAATCCCGCTGCGTGGTTCTTGGATGCACCCACTCCAGGTTTGTCCTGTTTGTTTTGTTGCTTTTTATGCAGCTTACGTTTAAGAAAATAATAGTTTCAGTAAATTAATTAAGTGGTAATTAAGGCATATTATTGCTGTTAATTCCTCCAGTTTGCGCTGCTGTATCTTCAAGAGAAACTGATTTAAATTTGACGTGATACAGAAATTGGGCTGAGATTGCTTGTAGTTACGTGAAGCTGAGCCCATCTTCATCAGCTCAGTTTCTGAAAAAAAAATCCCCTAAGCAGCTCAGAGTATTTGTTTGTGATCAGGAGCTTTATGCCCTTCAGCCTGCAGTGCCTTTCGTTTGACACAAACAGAAGCAGAGACCTGGTGCTTGTAGTTCACCAAAGTGGCTATTTCCTTCTAACCTTCCTCTTGTAACAATGTTTATTCAGTTATCAAGGAAGAAATATCATTTGTCCGTGCAGCTACAATTACCCAATTTGTTGTATAAATTATTACTTTTTTTCTCATCTCATGTTGATGACAGAATCATTTAATAGACTTTCAGTTGCTCAAGCTTGAAAATTGGTTCCACATTCTCCCTTTTTAGTTTTCCTCCCTAGGGTGAGTGCAACGTGGCCTAAATGCCATTCCCAGCTCCCCTTCCCCCTTCTTTTCTTTAAACATCTGCTTGTATGAGGATGTTGTTGTGTACATTAGCGCTGTGCAGTTTAGCACCTTTAGGACTACCTTTGGCTCTCAGCTTCCTTGTTTCCTGGGCCAACCATAATATATCAGGAACCGTGGATATTTCCTATCTCAGCACTCTCCATAACTCTTTTGCTCAGCTGTCTGAAGCTGTTTTCTTTAGGAAGTCCAAAGTGAGGGGGCCTGCTTGACCTGGCATCGGTCCTATTTATAAGAATAAACCTTCTTCCCCGTACACCTTTGGAGCTTTGTCGTGTAGGGGTCACATCCGTTTAAATTAACAGCGATAGCGCCTGAGACGGAACACGGCCACGTAACCTTTATTGTCCCGTCCTACCCTTTTGTTTGAAGTTATAAAACCTACTCAGCTGATTTTCTTCAAAGCTAAGGCTACAGGATCTGCAGCCGTGTCTCTGCCACATAATTAATTAGGAAGGAAAAAAACAGCTACTGTGCGCGCTGTATTTTTGCAAGATGTTTATCTGTTTATTTAAAGCCAGCATTCGCTTTTTTGCTCTCGAATTTTTGCTCTCCTGCTCTCAGCACTGAAATAAATGCCAGTCAGGCTCGTTTGCTTAGGACAGGAGTTCCCATGTGGCGGTGGGCAGGGGCAATGCACGGAGCAATCATCTCATTTCCAGCCCACGGTCTGAGGCTTTGGCTCAGAAGCAGTGCCACCTCCACCTCCGTGGCGCTGAGATGTCACTCCTACAGTCTGCCCTCTCACAAGTCAGCCTGGGTGCCTGTGCCGTGTATTTATTTTGTCCTTATTTATTTTTAAGTCTAAGAATATTCGCTGAAAGCAGGATTATCGCTTTGTAGACCACCAGCAGCTGTTGAAAAGCAGGGCATAAAAGTTTGTTTATGCCTTTAATAACCCTCTTAATGATGGAGCAAGCACATTATTCATAATAAAATAGCCTGGCATAATCTTGCTTCAGTGTGCGGTGGGAGGGAATTAAGAAACATCTGCTATGCCATAAAATAACATTATATATACCATTTACATTAGAAACATGTGTCTACACATATGTATATTATATACATATATTTAGAATGTCTCAGTGGAACTCGTCTTTTTAATTACATTTAGAAAACAATGAAATGGTTAAATGATGGTATTTTTACTTCTGAATCTCAGCTTTATGCAGTGTTTGTGGGTACGGCTGCTTACGATGACAAGGGACAGAGCATCAGAGTGCACCTGGAGACACACGAGGGCAGATGTTCAAGCACTGAAATCGGGGTTCAGTTTCTGTTTCTAGCCTCCAAATAACTGACCTGATTTTCTGAAGTACAAAGCGTTCGTGGGCTCTTGATTTTATGAGCTTTGGTTGCTCAGCAACTCTACAAATCAGGCCACTATTTCAGCGCCTAAATGCAGATTTTATTTACAACAACAGCATCCGAATCCACAGCTTTCCTCGATGTGAATTATTTGTATTACTCCCGTGCTGAGCACGAGAGCTTACCATGCTGGTGCTGCACTCAGCAGGAGGGTGGCTGCCTCTGCTCTACAAACCTGGGGCAAAAAGGGACAAAATGGGGATCCTGAAGCCGCCAGCGGGGCAGCGCTCTGCCCTGGCAGTGGCCATGCCTTGTGGCTCCCAACCAGCACGGCATGTAAACATGTCTTTAAATTTAGGCGTGTGAGACGTAAGTGGAACTACTTGCATCTTAAAATTAAATACATGTTTCACTAGATCAGGCCAGATGGTTTTACATGCTCAAAAGTGACATTTACAAGGTCACATAGGAAGTGTTTGACAGAGCCAGGAACTGAAACCAGATCTCCCAAGTGCCAACCCAGGGCCTTAATTTTGCTCGCATCCATTTTTTCTTCCCGCTGGCATGTTTCTCCTCAGCCAAACAAGGAAAAAATGAATCCAGTAAGTAGACAATTAAGTTGTTGTTTTTATTTGGAGGCGCTGGGAACGCAAATGCCACTGTTTGAAAGATTAGTGCTTTCATTTTTTCAGCAAGGCATATGTTTTCATAGGCTTTTTCTTTTTTTAATTTTGTCTCTTCTATCTTACAAGAATGTAAGAAATCTGTTTTCATTTTGTAGGTGGCCCACCAAATAGAAGTTATAAGTTAATAAAATTTCTATGCAGATTTATGTGAACTGGATGAACTCTCCCAGTATCTGAATGTTAATCTGTTGGAAAATAGCTGCTGTGGTACTGGAACAGCTCAACATCATACAGCAGGGCACACTCACAGCAGCACTCCGATGACATTTTCCCTACAAATGCCAAAGTAAACATGAGAGACTACAGTGGGGGAAAATCAGTGAACTACTGGAAAGGCAACTGTGGTGAATTTAAGGCAGTTGCCTTAGTTTCACCTAAATCTCTGCTTCTATTAATGTATGTATTTTCCTTGGTAGATGTATCCGTGCAGATTTTCTTCAATGCATTTGATTTAGCCTGTCCCACTTTGCTTCTGTTCTTGGGATGGACGTAGCTCTTTGCAGGCTCCCATTCTGCCTCAGTTTTTAATGAGTCCTCAACCTCTCTGTCCTGTTCCAGCTGAAATGCAGACCATGAGAGAGTACTCCAGGGGAAGTGCTGGATACCCCAAGCATGAAAAGGAGGGGAGCAACAGCCTCGCATTCTCACAGGACCCTCCTACTGCACCAGCAAACTGTATAAAGGTAAAAGGAGCAGGGGTGGGGGTAGGTTTTTCATCTTGACTGGCCAGCCTCTATTTCACCAGGTGTAGGGTATAAAGGACTTGTGAGGGTAGAGTTTGTGCATCTGTGACCAGTTTAGAAAAACCCTCCGAAATTGCTGTAATTTAAGACACATTTAAATTGTACTCTGGATGGCAAGGATGGGACTTGGGGAGTGAGAGCAGTAATCTCTGACAGTGGGCCAGTAGTGTATACTGAGATGCCTTGGGCTCCCTCAGCCACCTGATTCCTGGGCTGGGGTCAGCCCATACCACCTGTGATTGCTTTGGGGTGGAGAGTTGTTAGCTGAAGCAGTGCTCAGACTTAGGCACGCCTTTTGCTGTGGGTGGCACAGGTAGGCCCTGGCCTGGGTCCTCCTGAAGGTGCTCAGTGCAGCTGAACCCATTGCACAGGGCTTCTCAACCCCAGAGAAAATCCTATTTTCCTGGGAAGTATTTTCTCTATCTGATTAATAACTTTAAAACATTTAATAGACATTTGACTTGCCTGACTCAGAGCTATCAAACAAATGGAAACTTTGCATTTTCCCACAGAAAATGCCTTCTGGTTTGTTTGGCTGCCTCCCACTGCTGTGCCAATCCACTGGCATGAACTCTAAGGATCCCTGCAAAAAGCTCTTATGCTAAACAGCATAACACAGCTGACTTTCAAGGAGCACTTAACATCAGCTTAATCGCTCAGGACCATACCAGTACCTACACAGTCTTGTGTCAGAAGGGCAGGCATCTATTCATAAGGTATGTATCACTGCTTGTACTTTTTTAATCGCTGCCTTATTTTAGATTGGTTGTATAAGGATCAGACCAAGCGTCTTGTTTAGGAAGGACATTTTTCCTTCTCCATCAGCATGCACTTAGGATAGAGACCACAAAAGAAAATCTCCATACCACTGCCCCCATATCTCAGGTTCCTGGCTTTGACTTCAGCAGCTCTCATTAACTGAGTCAGAGCCGGTATCATGCTTTGGCTTGATGGATAAAAATCCTTGATGGATTTTTATTTCATCCATTACTTTTTGTTATCCCTTTTTAAGGCCATAGACATTTTTTATATCCACAGCATCCTGGGGTACTGAGTTCCACAGTTCAACTATGTGTTGTGTGGATGCCTACTAGAGTTCTTAAATCCTTGTTCCTAATAGTTTTTTCCATCATCTTGCCAATTTCTGTTGCATCCACTTATCACACTCTGCACTTTCCTCAGGAAATAAAATCATCCTGTATTTAGGTGCTTCTCAGAAACAGTCGTTTCTTTAAAGCATACCAAATCTTGATTGAGAAACTGATGAAAAATTATATTTTGGGCTTAATTGCTTACCTTTGTTGCTGCCTTTGATGATGCACAGAAATAGCTTGAGAAGTACCATTAAAAACAGAAATCCAAAGAACAGAATCAACTCCAATTTCCTCCATAAAGTGACGGACTGGGACAAAGACAAAGGCATCAGCATCTGCCCAGCTTCCCTACGTGGCTGTGGGGCTTTGGGGAACCCATCCTTTCCCTTCTCTTTCAGGGAATCTGCTCTTCCCATCGGGTAGACCGAATTGAAGACACTAAGTATTGATTGGAGGAATTCTTAGGTATAAAATCAGTGTCTAAATGTGTCTAACAAGAGTTTGAATTGCAAACATTAACAATATTAATGCACTTAATTTTATCTAGTCCTAGCCAGCTTATTTTCTGGGAGGTTTCTTGGTTTTTGTGTACTGGCACTGGAGAACTGGAAAGCAAAGACCCACATAGCACCCATCGCAGCTTATTACAGAGGGTAAACAGCCAGTGTTATTAGTAGATGAGGAAAGGTAGATCAATATAAAGAAATACTGCTCTCATTCACTATTCCCTTTGTCACTGCCAGGCCTCAGAATTTTTCAGTTCATTGATGTCAGTAAGGATTTACGTGCCTGCCCAAGAAGCTGGTGCCAGATTATTCCCAGGCTGCAGCAGATCCTGATCAGCATGTAAGCTGGCTTGGGCAGCTGCACAAGGAAACAAAATTTAAGATCACAGCAACTTAAAATACTGCTCGACTTTATAACATCAACATTGGTATCAGGGAACATGGCAACAAAAGTGACCAAAAAGCATCTCCTTTTGCTGTAATGCTTAGCGAATATATCAGGCTGGTTAGACAGAGGGCATGTAATGTTTTTCATTAGCTGAATGAGCACCTAGCTCAAGCCAAGTCTGAAGGCTTTTGGAAACACTTTATTCACAGGGGGCAGCTTGGGGGTTAAACAATGTTTAGCATATTCCCTTCCCTACATTATTTCACGTGCAGAGCTGCTTCCTCTTTGACAGCATCAGGAGCCTATCCTTACATACCCTAATGGTCTCATGCCTTCAGCACGCTGTGGCTTACACCCGCATACCTCCTTGTTGCTGTTATCACCAATGGTTTCCTCAATGGAAATAATCATGCACATTACAACTGTTGCCAAAACCCTCTGGCACCAGAATCACTCTCGGAAGGAAAGCCTGAAGGCATGTGAGGGCCTGAGCAGCTGTAGCTGCAGTGAGGTAGGTCAGCAGTACTACATGGGAAACCATGCAAGAGGAAAGCTACATGCTGCCTTAGTGTTTAACAGCAGCCAGAGTTTGGGGTCTGATTCTGCTGGGGTTTCAGAACGAAACCTGAATGCTGGCCTGTGCAAATTCCTCTGTTCACGGTTTCATGTCCATACGCACACACCGACAATCCATCATGAGGTCCCATCGCTGCATCTGTGTGCCTTCGTGGAGACTGCAAAGGTTTTGCATGAGTTCAAATACGAAAAAAAAGTCATTTTTCACACATTCTAATTTCAGATATGACTGTAAGTGTTCTAAGCCTCTTTGTATATTTAAACATTTTTAGTGAGTTAAAAAACAAACAAACTATATCTGTTACATTTCTGCAGTTAGATCATGTAACTTGACTGCCTGACAAAGCATCAGCAGTATGAGGTCCTTTATGGGTCACAGCTGAGCCAGATTTTACGCTTAAGAATTTCCTCATTTTGGACCAGAAGTAAAAAAAAAATCTTCTTCTGGGCAACACCCATGAGCCCACGTCTGGAAAAAAGAAGTGAAATGTGAGCAGAAAGCCCCCAAATAGCCTGGGTGTCCCTCAGACAAAGCAGAAGAAAAGTAAAATCACAGCTCTGTTCTTTGGCTGTGGGGCCACTTGTCCCACCCCAAAAGCGGGCAAAGAAGCAAAACCCCCCGACAGCAGTCAGGGAGGTGTTGAGAAGGCCATCCCAAGGGACTTGGGGACAGTGCTTGTCCCCACGGGGCTTGGAGCAGAGGGACCTCACAGAAAACAGCCCGGCTCCAGGGCAACCCCCAAAATGCTCTGCAGCCCCCAGATGCTATGCTGCTGCAGACGGGCAAGGGAATTGTTGGCGTGCCACCGCCTGCTCGCTGTGTGGTCCTGCCCAGGGAGACATCCCAGTGGCTGCCAGGAATGAGGAAAACTAGCGTGTTTTTGTTTTGTTTCCTTTTAAATAAACTCGCCGTCCTTAATCTGGCAGGCTGGAGTCCAGGCTCGACAGGCCAATGAGTAATGAGGTGCGAGGGAAGACAGGATGTGGAATTAGGAGGTCAGGGCTGAAGGTTGCCCCAAATTTAATCTCTACCTCTCCTTCTCCATGTGCCACTGCTGACCATGGTGCAGATGCACACTCACCAGCGATGTCCTACAGCCCCATATCCAAGCAGGGCCAATGCAGGAGGAGTCTGGAGCTAGGGCTTCCCTCCCTGCCCTCTCTGGTAGGCTGTGCCCGCAGCAGAGCCTTTCCCTGCCTTCCAGATGCAACGGTTCAGAAGCTCAGGGGCAGTCAAGTTCACCCCGTGGCTCTGCTGACACTCAGTGTTACCTCACTGAGCTCATCACCACTTGGGTCCCTACCAGCAAACATTAATTTCCTTCCAGTACCCTTGCCAACCTTTCAGCCTAGCTTAAGCTGGACTTTAGCTTGAGAAAACCAGACTTATTACCACGTGCTAAAGGCAATAAGTAATTTTTTTCCTGCTGCATGCATTATTGGCAGAGTTTGTGACCACGGCTGAATTACAGCCATGCATGCGCTCCACATGCATTTATTCATCATCTAAATTATTTTTGGCAGCAAATAAGAGAGTGTGCTGATTAAAATTTAAGAGTTATCTCAACAAGCAAAGGATTCCTTCACCAGCTCACCTTGGCTCGGGTGTCCTTCTGGCCACCAACTGTTTTTAACATGCATCAAGAAGCAGAGCGTGGCCAGCAAACGCAGCCGAATGGGGACTGCTGGTGGCCAGGGTGGTCCTGTGCTGTCCCTCAAGGGTGGCCATAAGGAAGGCATCGGCATTGGTGGCACCAGGAGGAAGTACTGCTGGCTGTTCAGTGAGGTTTTGTGCTAGTGCAGGGCGGTGAAGTCAGTACTTCAGTGATGTTTATATCCCTTTGGCTCAGTACCACTTCAACTTAACCACATGTTTAAGAGCATTTTTGGACAGAAGTGCTTTCGCGGTCCGTAGCTGTGAGAGCAGTGAGAACAACTCTTGCCTTTTCAGGTGGGCAGTTGGAAAGCAGATTAAAGTGCTTGGAAGGCAAAGGAGAGCAGCTTTGCATTTTTAAAGCAGCACTTTGAAAGAGGGGCAAGTGTAAAAGTTTAATTATAGGGTTTCCTTGACAGGGAAACAACTCAGTAGTCATTGTGTGCGTGTTGTCAAACAGCACAGTCTCTAGCAAATCCAAATAAGAGCAGAACAAGAAAATAAGAAGACCAGAAGTTCACAGTGGCTCATGCTCAGTTCTGCTCTGACAAAATATTTTCCACTGTTTAGTATAATGCCTGGTGTATATTGATGCGTATTGATTTTTCAATCTGGCGCTTTAATTAGGCTCTAGTTGTTCAACCTTGCACCTTTGCTGCATTAGAGAGTGAAAACAGACGGTATTTCTTCTCTAGGAGCCTTGAACAGCGAAGCAGAGCAAGGCTGGAGGAAAAGCCAGCAGAATATTGACGGGGAATCTAAATATCTCAAAGGCAAAAAGTTGCAAATCTATGTTTATCATTTTTTAACAAGAGAGGCGAAACACTGCAATACTAATCTTGAAATCTATGTTAAGGTCAGTTGGAAGTGAAAGAAATTAACACTCTACTGACAACCGAACTGTTGTTTCTTTGAATGGCTGATGACCCTGTCTAGTCTACAGTGTTGTTAAAAATTTATTAACTAGCTCAAATGCCTA